GATAGAAAGAGATAGGTAGCTCACTTCTTTCTCGAGGAAGCCGGCCCTGAGAGCTATCTGGTTCTCCTTCATGCGTCGTGCGTCTCGTGATCGTTTCGCCGCCATGTTGTTCTTCCTACGACGCGCCCAGTATTTGTCATCCTTCAAGTCATCCGGAACGAACTATAAGAACACAGAATGCAGACATTGTGTCGATCATTTCATAGACATAATTGTAATGGTAATAGTAATGATAGTGTGGTAGTAATAGTAGTAGTAGTGGTGCTAGTGATGCTAATGGTAGTGTCTGTCTCTTTTGTGAGTTAGGGTCATAACCTCTTTCTATTTCTATTTGTTTGTTTTTCCTTTTTTTCTTTCAGTAACTTTTCTATCTTGTTTCCTTTTTTTTTTTCTTCTTTTTTTCTTTTTTTCATATATCAATGACAAACCTATTATTAACTATTCGTTTCATTGGCAACGTGGATCATTTAAATTGTCTATTGTTATGTTTACTTTTCATTTATACAATTTTAAGTTAATAAAACTTAGAATTAACTTTAAATGAGTATTGGAGAATTTTGTGTTAGATTTATTTTTTTTTTTATTAAATAATAATAATGAAAATAATATGAAATATAATTAATTGAAAATGTATATATCCAGCTAAGCTGATTGTAAGAAATTTACTTTACCGACTGAGTGTGTTAATTTATTTATTTGATATTTTCTTTTTCTTTTTTGTTGTATTTGTTTATTATTCTCATGGTAATACGTTAACAATTAGGGGGCTATTATAGTAATTAATTATTTATTTATTTTATTATTAGTTTTTAGAGAAACTGTATATATTTTATATATTATTGTTTTATGTTTGTTTATATGTTGTTTTATGGCACGACGATTTTGCGTGTTGTATTATTTTTGTCTTACCTGTTTCCGTGATTTCTTGATCATCGGTTGTGGTTTGAGTTCCTCGTCGGAAAAGGCCCTTGTTCGTGGATCGAAATCTCGGCCCGATGACGCCATTGAGAGCGCTACAAGAGAGAAGCCATATTGTATTCGTGACGAGTCCTCCGAATCTGTTGCGCGAAAAAATTCAAAATAATCGGAAACAAATTCGGACGTTAGTCTTTTGAAATGATTTCTCTAATTATTAAACTTTTGTTTAAATTTATTTATAAAATAGGATTTATTATCGTTGTTGGATACTTTTTTTTTATTCGAATTAAATTTTTACAGAAAATAATCGTCAAACGTTCTTCGTTCTTTTTATTTTATATATTAAATAATTCGAATTATTTTTTGTTACTTAATACATGTATATTAAATATATCATATAGATATATGTGTATATAAAATATACCATTAAGATTGAATACAATTGTTAATTAATTATTTATTGATCGTAGATATGTTCCACTACATTTATCATAATTATAATCAATAAATTGATCCCAAAATATTATTCTTACAATTGTGAATTTTAAATAAATATAGAAAAATAAAAGAATAGTTTATACAAAAGTTCTTAGAAGATCTTACAAATAAATTATCTTACTCTCTGTTTTTAGATGGTTTTACAATTAGATTCATTTTTATTTCAGATAATTAAACTATTATTGAAGTTTATCAAATTACAACTTTAATTACATATATACAATATGATTTATCAGTTAATCTTTCAAAGTTTTGGTCTATATTGTATAAGAAAAGAAACAAATTCCTAGACTAGTAATTTTCTATATATAAATATGTACTATATCTTGTAAATATAATGTACAAATTTTTAGTCTATAAATAACAAAACTTCTGATCAATCTTATAATATACAAAAATAAAAAATCAAACGTTTGTGCAAAAAAAATACAAATAAGTTTTATAATTTAAGAATAAAAAGATTAAATAATAATTGAACGAAAAAAATCATCCCCCGAGTACTTTGAAATTCACCCTTAACGTTGTAAAAAGGGGTAATAAAAGATATTAACCAAAACAAATTACGAATAATAATAAATAAATTGAAATGAAGATGAAGATGATTGAACTTACTGGAGTCCGCTGGTGAAGGTGGGTTTAAGGTGTCAGGTGAACAACAACCCTCACTCGGCGAGGGTGACCTTTCCCGTTTGGTGACCGGTTCTAAATGAAGACTTGCTGGTCCCTGATGACTCGCAGCTTCAGTATTGTTGATCTTGTGCAACTGTGCGCTCTGCATAGTACCTTGCCCACCACCGGCTACACCATCTACAGGGATGCCATTTTCGGAGAGAAACTCGTCCAGGTCCACGTACTATTTAACAAATTATTAATAAACAATTTTTTTTTTTATTTTTTTTTGGTTGCTTTCTTTTTCAATATAAAATTTTTCCTTTTAATTCTATTTATTGTTATACGTATATATATATATAACATTTATTTTTGTTTGTTTGTTTCTTTTTTTTTTTTGTACACAATTAATTAAAATATATTATTATAAATGATTAGAAAGTGAGATTAATACAATGTTGTATG